TCGAATTAAGTGGCTACACACCCCTTAATTCGAACTACTTAATTCGAACTAGGCGTTAGTCCTCGTATAATGAGGTTTACCTAGTTCGAATTAAGCACTCCGCTAGTTCGAATTAAGTTCAAACTAGCGGTTTGTATGTGTAGTGCCTATTAAAGTTAATTCGAACTAACGTCTGTTAGTTCAAATTAACTTTGTAGTGTAGACATACCCTTACTGAGGTAGGGGAGTATATATGAACAACAAAAAGTTACTTTTCAAGTGCAGAACCAGTGTTAATGAGGCTAATTAAGTCAGGGCGAGTGTGACTCATTCAGGGCATTTGAGGTGGAGATGTGAATATCAAGAGGGGGAAAATTGCCGTTGTAGTGTGTTAACCAGTTAAGGGCCTTATTCACTCCTAAATTGATTGTACTGAATTTAGGGGGAAAATAGCTTAAAAAAAAGAGTAAAATATACAGACTCTGAAAGAAATAATTAAAAACAATGGACTATATGTTCAACACTCATCTGGCTGAAGTAGGCTCATGCAGATTGTAATACATACAAATTCATATGCATGCAAACCTTTGTTTTGTGCACAATGAAACAGGAACACAATTGTTTCTAAAAATCCAATCAAATGAAAAAAGCTTTGTTTTGGTCAAAAAGACACTTCCAAAAAGTTTCAATGGAAAAAAAAAATCAGACCGCTATTAGTAATACAGGTAGTGATGTGGATTATATGGGATGATATGTGGATTATATGGGTAGTGATATGGATTATATGTGGATTATATGTGGATTATATGGATAGTGATGTGGATTATAGTGCTACATGATTATATTGTCAGTGAAAAAAAATGTGTTATACTGGGGTTCCCCAACCCGAGGTGTTATCTACACAAAAAAGCCTTTGCCAGAACCCCTGGTGGAGAAGTAATATACATTAATAGAATGAGTTCTTTTGCCAGTGTAGATAAATCACTTAATGAGATGAGATGAGCTAAGCTAAGCACTCTTTGATCAGCATAGTTGTGTCTATAGAGGGGTTTTGCTGGCATACCTGCGTCATCTGGTGTCGAGGGGCAGGCCCCCTCAATGATCTAGAAGTCCCCGAAGTCTGGGTTAGGGTTCCTTTTCCGCAGGGCCATAGACTCAGTCTGTAGCTAATATCCTTCTATCAGGGTATATACAGCCTGCAGACCTAATTCAAAGTACAGTCCCTTCTATCAGAGAATGTATGGCCTTGCAGGCCTAGTTCCAAAGTACAGTTCCCGCTATCAGGGTATTTACAGCCTTATGGCCTAGTCTCAAACACACTCCGCTCTCCCAGAGTCACTAGGGCCTAGAGACCTAGTGCAAAGGGAAACCTCCCAGAATGCTAGGGAACTGGGTTGTTGTGGGATGGAGAGGGAGGGGGACCTGGGCCCTCCTGGGATGGAGAGGGAGAGGGACCTGGGCCCTCCTACTCCACTGGGTCCTAGCCCAATGCCCTGTTGGCAGTGCCGGATTTCACTGTCTGCTCAGCGGCGATTCCTGCTTTCGCGGCATTGCTCAGCGAGTCGGGGCCTCCTGGATGGCCTCCCTGGCCAGGGCGGTCACGGGGCTGTGCATCTGCTGGGGTTGCTGCTGCTGGGGCAACTGTGACTGCAGTGGTGGTGGTGGCGGCAGCAGCAGCGGCAGCAGCAGTAGTAGTTGTAGTACCCATTAGTGCGGGGTAGATACACCCCAACACAGCTGGTAGATGTGATTTTGTTCATCCTTATATCTAACATAGCTCTGCCAGCACATCTTTGTAGACCAAGTGCCATTGTTTCTCTGATGTATAGACACTAGAAAAGCCTTTAGATTTGCCTCTCATGTATTCTAGGATGAAGTCAACTCTGAAACTGTTTTGTGGTTCTTTCTAAATCTATCCTGTGCTCTCCTGTTATTTCAGAACTCTCAGGCAGAACTGCAAACAGGCATAGCTCTGAGTAGAGTTTATAAAAATAGTCGTAGGAACAGCTAGATGTAGTAGTTATTCCATGCATTAACATGCCTAATTTATCTTTGTAGATGAAAAACACTCTGAATGAGAACATTTGCATAGATCAAGGCCCAGTCCCTGGAAACACTCCTATAATGTATGGCTGTCATGCTTACTCTCCACAGGTATTACAAACATGTTGTTTCACTGCAATTAGAAATCGTTATTAGACTTTGCTGTGCATTCTTTACTAGATAATTAAAATTGTTCTTTATGTACTGTCATGCAGAGAAAACTAAATTTCATTATATAAGTAAAAGAAATAATATTCCACATAAAAATGAATGGCAGTAGACTCAGAGACTTTAAGGTCAGAAGAGGCCATCATGACCATCTAATGTGACCTTCTGCGCAATGCAGGTTACAGCAGATTCCATCATGGTCTAAATACATTAAAAAAACTTAAAAAACAATGAATAGTCTAATACCGTGGTCACCAACCAGTAGATCATGAGCTACCGGTAGATCTCAGGGGCTCTAAAAGTAGCTCTTGAGCCCTCTCTGAACTGCGCACCTGCACAGTATGTTTACATTAGATTTCCTCATTTGAGGAGCAGCTACTCACTGAGCAACAACACAGGTGAGTAGCTGCGAGGAATGGTGGGAGCTGGGAGGTTGGGAGGGCTGAAACACCCCAGCCAGCTGACTGTGGCTTTCACAGCTGGAGCTAGGCGCAGCCTCCCTGGGCTAAGCGCAGGGCAGCCGGGCTGAAGGGAAGAGAAGCAGCTGCCCGGCCAGCTGGCCATGGCGCTCAGCCAGGGTGCACCATGCTCCACGTGGGCTGGCGCAGAGGAGAAGCTGCCTGGCCTGCTGGCTGTGGCATTCAGCCCAGAGGAGGCTGAACCGTGCTCCAGCTGATCGGGCGGCTTCCCCTCTGCACCTGCTCACGTGGAGCTTGGTGGCACCCTGGCTGAGCACCATGGCCAGCTGGCCGGGCAGCCGCTTTTCTTCACTCCCGCCC